AAAATTAATTTATATTTAAAATATTTAATTTGCATGATTTTTTTATTATATTTTTTTTACTTCAATCTTCATATGCCCCACCACCACATCATATGAGCTATCAACTCAAGAAAACTCAAAAAATCATAAAAACAATAACAAGAATGAGTTTTCTCTGGGACTAAAAAGTTGATTTGAAGTTTATGAGCTCATAACATATATAATGTCAATTAAATCTATTTTAAACTAATGTTTTAATTAATTATTTATAAAATGAATAATATTTATTTATTTATACATTATAAAAAAATTATCTATTTATTAATGATAAATTTTTAAAATGAATTTGGTATATAAGATATAGATTTAAAATATATTTAAACATATAACATAAATTAATAATAATATTTATTAAATTCTTAAACTTATATTTGAATTAAATTTATATTAAATATGTAATATAGACTAATAATGAATTATACTAAATTATACGGTTATATATAAATTAAATTCAGATTAAAAATTAAATTTAAAAGTTGGAAAAATTTTAATTTAAATCCATCTTTTTGTTATGAGTGTAAATGCTTAAACTTAGGAGTTTTTAGATTTGTTTTGCTCTTATGTGAAATTTTAAAAATAATTTTTAATTGATTATGTAAATTTTATGCTTCAAAAATTCTTATTTCATTTAACTTTTTATTGTATATTTAAAATGATAACATATTATTATGCTAATTAATTAATTTTATTTTTCACAACAAGTCAAAATTCCATTGGCAAACCAAATATCTTATTTTTCTTAAAATAAACAAAACGATATCAAACACATCGCCGTCCTAAAAAACTCCTCAATAGGATAAATTCGCAACAACAAAACCCTAACTGTAGCTGTTGTCCTAATACTCTGGGCTGTTTGACAACAAGTGGGATTTAACTTTATTTGGATTTAGTAAATTCTATAAATTCGGATTTATTAAATCCTGTATATCCGAATAGTGAATCTCTGAGTTTGCTAAATCAAAAAGTGTTTGGTATACAAATGTTAAATCCTGTTAATTTCTGATTAATTGTTTGGTAACATATTTTAGAATTTATGGTAGTTAGAGATTTAAATGTGAAGAAGATAATTATAAATTAAAAAAATATTTATAATTAAAAAATTAATATTTTATGAATTTAATAACAAGCCGAGACAAAGGCTTGTTGTTTCACATTAAGTTCAAGTTACTCGTTAATTATTATTTACAATTTTAATTATATATTTAAAGTTATATTAATTAAGATAATTATATTAATATTTAATTACTAATTATACAATTAAGTTAAATTAGATAATTAATTTGTACATTAATTATTTAATTAATTTACTTAATTATTAATATTTTAAATTATATTAATTAAGTTAATCTATAATAACTTAGAGGCTTCTAGGGTTTGCCTTCATCTTCTCTTTTCGTCGTTGCTGTTCGGCTTCGTTGCTTCGAAGGAGGTGTAGAGATTGCACACGTAGCTTCTTCGGCTCCTTCGTGGCTGTTCAACTTAGCTCCTTCGACGACTTTCTCTTCCTGTCGGATCGGAAGTTACGATATTTTGATCGGAAGCAACAACGGGAGCTCGTGGCTGTGAAGGTAACTTTCTACCTTTCGCGCGCTTCTTCGGCCAAATCCCATAACTCCGCCGAAACGAGGGATTTAGTAAATCCGGGATTTAACGCGCGCACAACAACCGTTTGGCTGGATTTAGCGTAAATCCGACATAAATCCCGCTGTAAATCCGATACCAAACAGCCACTAATTGATATATCCTACTTCCGAAAGAACTCAAATGGCGGAGAAAGAGTGTATAAGGGGTACGGCTAGCCGACGAGAAAAGAAAAAGAGGAAGAAGATAGAACTGGAGATGGAAGTATTGTCAGAGACCGCGGATAAAATGGCTCCCGTAGTTGGCTACTTCCCGTCCGGCTACGACCCCGTCGCCGCAGGCGCCGATCCTGACATCAAGCTCTTTAGAAACAAGAAGAAGCCCAATCGCCTTGAACTCGTGGTACGGCCAGATGACTGCAACGTAGAGTTCGTTGGTAAGAGTTATGCCGGCGAGGCTGCTTTGCCGCAGCTCTGCACCTACGCCCTTGGCGTCGTTGACAAGGAAACCCAGACTCTGAAGATTTTTCCCATTGCTGCCAACAAGGTTTTTGATCCATCTTAGAATTTGCACGCCTTAACATTTCAGTGTTAGTACTCTTCGTTATGGCTTGTGATTTATCTTGTAATGGGCGCCCTATATCTTTTCCTGAACAATTGGTTTATGCTTGTAACCTAGAAACTTTAGTGGCATGAATTGTTTCAGCTTAGAATTCAAGATTTTGTCTCACGTCCGAACTTCCAATTAAATGAAGACAGTCTGATTTTTTTTCTATCGTGACCCGACAACCTGACCCGGCCCAAAGTGTGTGTAAATTCTCCTCGTGTACACACTGTGTACAAGAGGGCCGGGTCGTTGGGTCACGCTAGAGCTACTTATCTTCATTTAATTGGAGTCTGGATATAGAGCTACGTCCGAACTCCGCAGGTAATAATTTCTCATCTAAGTGACACTTTTTTGTATTACAGTGACATTTGAAATCACTGCTTCTTTGAATAATTCCATTATTTGAAATCTATATAACTTGTTTTAAACAAATGGGATTTGCATATGCTATCATTTTTTGTAGAGAATGTAATCATGGTGCATGTAGATATGTTGGTGTGCATGGTGGGAGTTGTAGGCATGATTATGGGTCCGTTTAGGACGGCTTCTGTTTTTAATTTATAAAGGTGGTTATAAAGTCGTTGTGGAGAAAGTGACGTTTTTTAAAGTTGTTATAGAAAACAACTTCCGAGCATTTTTTTTTTTTTTTTTTTTTTTTTAAATTTTTTAAAAAAAAAAGGCCAAAAAAAAGTTTTTTTTGGAAGTTGTTGTTGCAATCTGAAAAACAAAGCAGTAAGAAAGCTGTCCCAAACGAAGCTTATATTATCAACCTAAATATTTAATTGATTACATGTAGCAATCATGAGGGTTAATACTTACCCCTTGTTTTATTTCATGATTGGTAATTCAGTATTTGATGACTTCTCATATATGCTTTTGGTTTTAGTTCGAATTATCTTTCCTATTGATGAACAATTGGTTTTGCAAAAACTTGCTACATCCGTTCTCTGTCTTGTTCTGCACACTCTTTCCCAAGTTGTTTTGTCTTCCTATGTTGCTATTTATGTATCTACTAAATGTTCTTTTAGCATCATGACAAGCTAGTAATATGCGAGAGCATTCAGATCCTTAGGTTGGAGCCTAGATTTATCAATGGTTTTGGAGAGCCTACAAAAGTAGGCGAGGAAGTCATTATTGATGAGAAAAAGAAGCATCCGATGGCAGATCTTAATCTTCTTTATGGAACAAAGAGGTCTAAGATTATTGTGAGTTTTCCCTTTTATTTTTATATGTTATGTATGGTTTATATTTCTGTCATGCAGTTTGCATGGTTTTGGTTGCATGGATGCATGCAGACACTATGCCTAGACTCAAATAGTAAGTTTAACAAGAGTTATAGGTTTTCTAAGTTACCATCATGTAACTGTCTTAAATGGACTCATATGGCATCTGCCTCTCTTTCCAACCACATAATCAACGATATTGAAGTCACAAGTCAAAGGAACAAAGATTTACTGCAACTCCAGTTGCAATCAAGTTGCATGGAGTGATATGGAAGGGAACCTATCCTCAACAACCGAAAAATTGAAACAATCATAGAGAGCCAACAACAGTGATTCCAGAGAACCAATATAAGCAATGCCAAAGAACCACCTACAAACCAACAATGAATCTAACCAAACTAGCACATGAATTAGACAACACAAGTTCTTTTTTACAGGAATAATTTCAATTAAGTAAACAAAATAAAAATAAAATCAATGCTCAAATTATCAATCCACTAATCTTAATACATATGCTACATGTTTTCGACAACCCACGAGTATAAAATTTGATGTTTACATCAATTTCTCTACATTTCTCTCCTTGCTTCTAAATTTATGCATTGATTCTGCAACTTATGCATTGGCAGAGAGATGCAACCAAATTTATATGCTAATTCTGCAAACAAACACGATGACTAAAAATGTACAAATGTACAAATATGCTAACTCGCATACATGCGCATGCATAGCTAATTTGCTATATTTTTCTAATATATGCCACAATAGAATCTACCGATGTTTAATGATTGTTGTTTCTATGTCTTCCTTTAGGAAAGTAGACGGCAATCAATAAATAAAAAACTAAATGATCCTTCTATACTTGGGCCCCTTGAAGTTGGAACAGATGGAAACTTGAATGATGAAGCTTCAAAAGATATTAAAGAACCTTTGGATCGTAATATTCCACCTTATGATCCCTCTGCCGTGACACCACAGAGTGCTTATCCATTAAATAATATTATACCAAAAGGAGAACGAGGTTATCTCAAGGACATTCTGGAGACCTTGGAATTGGAGCCTGATAATGCTCGTAATGCCGAATTTTGGGAGAGTAACTACTACCCGAGTTTCGTTATTCATCGATTGTCTAAGCTGAGGGAGATACAGGTAATTCTCTCATCATTTTTATTTCGGTGTAACAATTAAAGCAATTATGTTTTCCTTGTGATTTCTTTTAATTAGGCGCTTTACTATTTTTGTTTTCTTTTAATGCTAAACTAAATTAAATAAATATCGTTATCATGTTTCAGTGTTGATTATATTACCTTTCCATATCCGCCCTACTCGGGTACTTGGTTTGTAACTGTAATGGTCATCATTGAATTTTTTTTACTTTTGCTATATGGTTTGTACGTCACCTGTGGTATTGGTGTAACATACAGTTTTTCAAAAATTGATACGTTTCAGGCTTGGCTTTTGATCCAATTTTTTAGTTTTTCAAAGAATGCGTTATGTCGTGAGGAGATTTAACTTTAATATCTGTTTATGGACTTTGTGGCGATATTCAATTGAGTTGATTCCATTTCCTTTAATTTTGCCTATTCTTCTTGTACTTGATCTAGTTCCATCATTATGATGTTCTTTGTATTACCTTCAACTTCTGAAAATTAACTCCTCACCAAGTTTAGAAAATAAGACATGAATGTCTTTTTTTTTTTGAAATTTTTAATGATGCAATCCATTAGTCTTGCATAAATATGAGGGAACCAAGTGTTATTGTGAACTGAAGGTCTTGAGTTGGTAGAAGAAACCAGATTGGGACCTCAATTTGAAAGATGGTATGAGCGCAGTTCATACCCACCATATCATAATTATAAGGATAAATATAGATAAAACCTTCAATGCCAATCAAATAAGATCCATCTACATTCACTGCAGATAAGACATTGAAGTTTCCTTGTAAGAATTTTCTTATTAATGGATCTTCTTATGTTTCTCTTATGCTCCTACCTTTAGCATGGGCTGCAAATATTATGGAAACTATTCAACTGCTTTGGGCTTAGGAAAGAGCATCTATGTGGGTCCCAGTACATGAAAACTTTTGTCCATATAAATTTTCTTATCGATGCATGTTCTTTTTTTTGCTAGCTCCAAAATAGCCCCAAAATGCATTATCCTATAATAAATGCTCAAAGTTTTTTTTAATATATATAACAAGGGCCTTTCCTCACTTTCCTACTGCAATATGTATTCTTTATTCCTCAAATCTCCAACACAGGAAATGCAAAATCTCTCAAAAACCTAAAGACAAAGAATCAAGACTTTCAATATCTCAAAATAAATGGAATAGGGTCCTTCCTTCCATAGGATAAATACAATTTGCAAAGACAACTAACAAGTTTGATTCACAATACAACTTTATTGTTTACGTTGACAACATATCTACATATGGCAAGGACAACTGCACTATATCCTCCTACATTGTTGGATCAGCTTTTTCAACTTTCTAAGCTGGATCACCTACATCGCAACAAACAACTTGATGATACTCTCTAGTCTCATGTCATTAACAATTGAGATATTGCCCATTTGTTTCTAATAGTCTCATCATTTTGTCTCATTGGTGTAACTTCCACGAAGTCACTCATCCCAAGAGTACTACAATACAAACATGCTTAACAATCATTACACTAAAATGCGTCTCAATGTTTAAGAGTTTAACATTATTTTCTTGAGGGGTTTTATAATTTCCCCAACAAGAAATTGATGTCCTCATCAATATCCTTAGCCCGAAACCATCCACCAGGCAAATACGAGCACTTAATTCCTATCATTCAGTCAGTGTATTGCTCTAATAACATTAAAATAGCTCAAACTCTTAACAATTAAGGTATTTTCCTCTTTGGCCTAGCGACCTTATAATTTTGTCCCATTAGTGTAATTTTCCAAAAGATCACTTCTCCTAAGAGTGCTCCAATACGAGCATGCATGACTTCGAAGTTTCAAATAAAATTCTAACAATTACACCTTGATGCTTTAAAATTTAGTTTTATGTTCTTAAAGGGTTTCAAAATCACCACAATATGTAAGTTCCCATGACCTTAATCCATAAATGATTTGATATTTTGGAGGCTTTAATAAAGTGAATAGTTTTTTATAAACTTGAGAAGTTTAGTAATGACCTTGTAAACTATTTGCACGTTTGTTCTACTGTGTCTTAAGTGACGATGAACCCTCCGAGGGATTTTTAAAGAGGGGAAGTTATATTTGCTCGTTTGCCCTTCTAAGACTTGATTTTTGGCATTTTTTGTGGATTTTGGTAAAGATTGTGTTTGAATGACGATGGCACTTGATTAGCAAGTGCTAGTTCTGTATAAAAGTGTTGGTAATGATGTTGGGTGCTGTTCTGACAAGTGGGCACCTAAGCTTTATAAAGAGGTGAAGGGGACGACAATGATTTTGAAGCAACCATCAAATCTATGTAAAGAGGAGGAAGGGACAATGTTAAATTAGGACTGATCAAAGCTACTTGAATGAACAATGAGCTCATATCTTTGAAGCTCTTTAGAGGTCCCCATGATAGAGTAGGCAAGGGTGCATGGCTGCATGCCATTACCTTTGACTTGAGTTGTATATGTTGATATAGCGCCTCCTTTATTGTTTTTTAAAATATTTTTTTTGGGTTGTATTTCATAATAGGAGAGTATTCCTAGTTTACTCATCCCTACTTGACAAAGAGTACACGAGTTACAAAATGTCCATGATTCTTGAATGAAATAAGTTGTCGTAACTCGTAATATTGTTGTTAAGAAGGTTGACCTTCTTGGAACTGATAAGGATGATAGATCCTTGTACAGAGATGCATTATGATTGGTTTGTAGTACACTAATTGGTGATAGTGGGATGACTTCTCGCAAATTATGCTAAAATATTCTTTGCCTATACAGTCTTTGAGTGTCGATAGATGTTTGGGTTGATGAGTAATCTTCAATTCGATACTGTATTTTGCACACAATCAGTAAAATAAAAGGTTAATAAGCAAACCTGCTGTTGACCTAGAAAAACTATTCTATTTTCAAGTTAATTATTGTGTTAGAAAATGAATAAGAGTTGAAATTGATTCATTGGAGTTTTCCTATTCAAGTGAATAGTGAGGACTGCACGAACTAGTCTTATTGGAGAGAGACACGAAGAAATTTACTGATGTGAGATTGAATGCGAGTTCAGTACTTTTGTGGGGATGAATGCTAGATGGAGGAGAAACTTCATCTTCAGGATATGTGTTGGACTAAAATGACCCTAGGTGAAGGGTATTTTGGTCTTGCGACTGATTAAGAGTTTTGAGAAGTGAGACACCTTGTCTCAAAGATTTGCCAAATGGTTCTATCCTTGGGGGTAATGAACAAATGGACGAGCAGCCCTTAGGGTTTAAAATTTATGTTTTTGGTGATTGAAATCGGACCATACTATGGTTCTTCGATTAGTGTAGGATCTCATGTCATTTGAGTTGATCCATTGGATCATAATTGATATCGCAAGATTTATGTTCGGTTTGATGGAACGGTGTATGCATTTCTTGATGTAAAATGACGAGTGAGATCTACAAGTACTATTTCTTGACCTACCTTCTACCCTCATTGCATGGAAATTGAGGACATAATTTGTAGGTTGGATGGCTCTTATAATTAGACTTCATAATTTGTAGGATCAAATAAAAATCCTTTCTATTGGCTAAAATCTATTATTTGAATAGATCTTAGGGGACCATATTGAATATTTGACTGGCATACCATGCTTATGGTTGAAAGATAATAAGATAGGTACAGGTAAAAAAAAATGTTACTGCTTGAAATAGAATGTATTACTTCTCCCTACATCAATTTGAGGGATGCAATAACCTGGGTTGTTTGGTTTCTCTTCTGGTGCAGAGTTTGACCGTGTATTTGGTAGCCAATTTTTCGTTCATGTTATACTTCTCAGGTGACGGAAAGCATAGAACCAACTCACCAAGCCAATATTTCATTCCACTATTTTAGCAGTGAGATATTTATTACATAGTTTTTGGTAAATTATTTATTTCTACACAACAACTTTTAAAATCCTTGTCAACTGGGTTAGCTATTACCCACAAATTTTGATTGAAAAAAACCTGTTATTTGATTGCTTATTAGAATGTCTGCAAGGTACTGGTTAGATAATATGGAATGAATATAAGATTATCACAGGAGAAGGGATAGGACATTAACATTCTGAAACTCGATTTGCCTTGCTAGCCTATAAGCTCTACGATTTTTTTATCATAAATGCTGAATTCATTTGCTTCTGTCGTGTGTAAATGCATATCTATGGTTTATGAAGTTATACTAATCTCTTAAGCATAAGTTGTCTTTTGCTTCTTATTTTAGATTTAGGCTTCACTTGGGACGGCTTTCGTACAGCTTCTTAAAGCAACTTTTTAGTACAAAAATATAAATTTTTGTTCTAAAAAGTTGCTTTAAGAAGCAGTAATAAAGCCGTTCCAAATGAAGCCTTAGAATCATGATAAATGGTAACATTAACACCAACTTGTCAGCAAATCAAACATTATTGCTATCTACACCAGCTTCTTCCATTTACATGTCCTGGTCTAGGTTTATTTCTGGCGTCTTACGTGGACTAAGGCTTCGTTTGGGACGGCTTTGTTCATGCTTTTTAAAACAACTTCTTAGTATAAAAATTACAAATTTTGTATTAGAAAGCTCCTTTAATAAGTAGTAAGAAAGCCGTCCCAAACGAAACCTAATTTTTCCCATACTTTTTTGTAGGACGAGGAGGAAAAGACCCAGTTTGCGTGCATATTGTCATACATCACTCACCTTATAAACTTCCGGAAGGTTGCAGAATCTGTACGACGCAGAAAAGATAAACCTGATTATGCTGAAGCAATGAGCAAATTCATGATACCAAGCGTTGTCTTTCAAAGGTTTCTCACACTCTTCTTGGATCCAGTCTCGAATTTAATTTCATCTGAAAAGAGTGTACTCCTAATTTGCTACGTCTTAGTTCTGACCCTCCATGCGGACGACTTTCTGACCGACTCAACTGACATTGAAAAGGATTTGGCTATCGCCAGAGATTCACTTAAACCATATTTTCTGCAATTGGGATGCAAAACTGACAACCCTAAACCCTTTCAGAAATCTCGAATGACTCTTCCAGTCCCACTAGTTTTTCAGGGCCTAAAGAAGAGGAGATTTAGACGGAGAGGTATTTTTGCTTAAGCCGCTGGTTTCTAATTATTGAAGATTTACTTCGACATTCACTGGCCGAGTACTGAGATTTCAAACTTCAAATGAATGGTTATTAATGGATTATCAACAAGAGATTTACGAGTTTCTCTGGTTTTACATATGCTTCATATATTATGCTGCGATTGTCTTTGTTTGAATCCTTTCAAGTCTTTTCAAATTGTTCATCTCTGACAATTGGAAGAGCTTTGTCGAGCTCTACAAAACTTAAATCCTCCATTGTTGGTGGAATTGATCCAGTTTTAATCAGCTGGAATATATCTTGTCCAGATTGAAGCTTGCCAATCAATTTCATTGTGATTTGGTTCGGATCATCTCAGATCTGGTTAGACATTTATTTATTTCTATATATATTCCTAGCTAATTATGAATACGGGTGCAAACGAGTCGAGTTTAGATCCTTATCGAGCTCGGCTCGTTACATGGAAAGCGAGCTTGAACTCGAGCTCGTTTCATAATAAACGAGCTCGAGCTGGCTTGCCAGTCATGGGCGGGAATTTTTAAATTTAGGCGGGATTTTTAAAAATTTTCAAAATTAGAAGGGATTTTTAAAACTTAAGCGGGATTTTTAAAATTTAGATAAAATTTAAAAAATATATATGAAATGTTTAACATTTAAATTAAAATTAGGTGATTATTATTAATATTATTTTTTAAATAGTTATATATAATAAATAAAATAAAATTATTTTAAAAATATTAATATTTATTCGAGCCGGCTCACGAGCTCGAGCTCGTTTACTAAACGAGCTCGACTCGCGAGCTTGATAAGCTTGGCTCGCGAGCTTATAAACAAGTCGAGCTCGAGCTGGCTCGGCTCACATACACCCCTAATTATGAACTCTCCCAAGTTAATTTTTTGCTTGTAGCCATGCTTGTTGAGAATTCAGTTCAAATTCAAGTTCAAAGTTAATTTAAGTTTCGTTTGAGACGGCTTTCTTTTTTTCTTAATCAGCATAAAAAATTGTTTTAGAAATTAGTAAAAATGTTATCCTAAATAAAGTCTTAATTTTCTAATTAGACTCTCAGTTATAGTTTAAATCTTCATAAGTTCTGTCTATTTAGAAAGATTTATATGCATATTATGAAATTCTAATATTTTTATGTAAAATAACATTTTAACTCTTTATATTTATTTATACATTATTTTAATCTTCACCTTACATCAATTTTAAATTTATATTTATTATATTTTTGGTGTGATTTAAAAATGTAAGAGGTATATAAATAAATATAAATTTTAAATTTTAGATTTATAAATATAATAATTTTATAAAATGTATGTAAATGTCACATCTAGTTATATATGTTTATATATAAAGCAAATTCTTGGCTAGTATATATGCTTGTTGCAAACACGTTCAGTACAAAAATAATTTATTTTTTAATCTGAACTCTCTTCTCTAGTTAAATGAAATGCAACTTAATGTCATTTAGATTTTATTTGTGATTATTTTTTTGCTCCTTTTTAAATTAATTTTTTTATAAAAAATATTTTTTTTTTAATCAACGGATAGAATGAAAATTTGGATGGCTATTAAAATTTTTATACTAAAAAACTATTTTAAAAATTAGTAAGAAAACCGTCACAAATAAAACCTTATTCGTCACAAACGAAATCTTATTCTTTTGAGACTGCTTAAAATAACTTTTTAATATATATACTAAAAAAAAAATACTTTGATAAACAATACGAAAGCCCATCTTAAACTAAACCTAAGAATCATCATTAGGTTTGTCTCTCTAAGGTTTCGTTTGGGACAACTTTCTTACTTCTAAAAACAACTTTCTAGTGCAAAAATTTTAGTTTTTCACTAAAAAGCTGCTTTTAAAAGCAGTAAGAAAGTCATCCTAAACATAGCCTAAGTATCATAAATCGCTGTATTAGCTACTAATATCCATGAGAGGCATCACCTATCATAATTGTATTAACTTAGCAACATACAGTACATTCTCTTCTCCAGCTCCAATTCAACCAACACCAAATATTCCTAAATAAGCATGAAATTCATCGTAATCCCAAAATAAATCAAAATCAGAACAAAATTCCATGTTACAAAGAGTTGAGAAGTATACCACAAACAGATCTGACAACTACAGAAACTTGCAAACGCCATTTGAATAACTCAATGTCTACAAACATTGGAACAAAGTACAAACCAGGACACACCACATTTGCACCCAAAACCAACATGAGAGAAAACCAGACTAAAAAGATATACAAGTTCTTAAGATTATCATAACTAAGCTTATCATGTCTTGGATTCTTCATTCCTTTTCAAGTAAGCTTGGGCTTCAACAACCTCCCCACTTGCATGCTCAATGCCCGAACTTCTTTGGCCGTCGGTCGAGCCGCCGGTCGAAATATCAGCCTTAGTGGCATCTTGTTTGCTCGCTTGCGCGTCCATTGAGCTACTTGATGGAGCGCTACCTCGTGGGAGCTCAGGCATGGCGGAACCGGGTGGCGGGAGCTCGCCACCACTAGCAGCAAGAGAATTCTGTGGAAGATGCATGGATGGAATGCCGTTGATGACCCCAGGTCTGATGCCCAGGTGGCTTGGGAAAGACATCGATTGCGACTGGAGTTGCCGCTGCTGTCCATGAAGTTGCTGAGGAGTGAAGTGCATGAGCGGCCGGGGTGGGAAAGCTGGGCCTTGCTGCATAAAAGGGCTTCCCTGCTGCATTGCGGGGTGTGGAACTACCTGCGCAGCAAGTCAGATATTTCAGGCAATGACTATATGTCTTTTCTACTTTAACTTCAGTAATTAACGGCATTATTCGGTTAAAATATTTAGGTGAGAATTTGAAAGTTAGGATTGAAGGGTGTTAGTATTATAAATAGCCAACATTTCAGTGTTATACTTCAACAATCTACAAATTAAGCTTTAGAAGGCCTATTTTAAAGCATGGAACTAAAGGTGTCAACCATGCCCAATATGATAAAAAATGGAACAAGTCACAACATACTGGTTTCTGAAGATAACTTGAATTTCACATTACCTAAAAACGCTTTAAATAAGTCCTTAAACAGATAAGAAAAATACTTTTTACTCCCAAGTAGATTGAAAATTTGATACTTCAACATAAAACTAGCGCGGTAAACTCTGACTAATCCCATCTTCAGCTAATCCAACCAAGCTCAAGATCAACTGGAAATTGTCAAGCTTGGTTCGCCTGATTTAGGCTTTCATTTGGGACAGCTTTGTTACTGCTTCTTAAAGCAGCTTTTTAGTATAAAAATTTTAATTTTTGTACTAAAAAGCTGCTTTAATAAGCAGTAAAAAAGTAGTCCCAAACAAAGCCTTAATCTCGACTCAAACATGTTGGGATCTCATTAAGTTCGATGTCCAATCCTAACATGTGCAAACATGCATTCAAACATCCATAGGTGATACATATATAGCTGAGTAATTACAAACAGAGAACATAAAAATACAAACACATGCATGCATTCTTACATACAAGCCTTTTAAGAGAGCATTTGGGATAGTTCTTTCACAATTTTATTTTATTTGGCTATATCATTATGGTTGCTTTTCAAAAATATTACAATGAGAAGAAGCTTTAAACAAACAGGAAAGCTAATGTCCAATTTATTTTTGAAGAAAACAAATCTATAATAATCACAACAGCTTTAGAAATTGGCTTTTACCACAACGCTTGCATAGCTAATTTTACAAAAAACTGCAGACCCATATATTGATTTCATCTCAATCAAGATTATTCAATCTAGACTGGGGTGAACCAAATTTGTTTCAAACAAGTATGGTGAGTTAGTCACCTTGCCATAAATTGCCTGGTCTTTGATCTTTCAGTTTGCTAGTCAAACTCTCAGCCCTAACAAATTTATACCCCTAGGTAAAACTAGAGATGAGAATAAGCATAAATATTGTGCAGAGAAAAAACCTGAGGACGAACTGAAGGAGTTGGAGGCTGTGCATCAGCTATTGCGGCAAGATAAAGCAGATTCTTTTGGAGCTGGGCTTGGTACCTGGCCATTTGGTGGAACAATCAGAACCATTAGTTTCAATACATTTAAACAAGTGAAAAGATACAGTTTTCTAGCAAAAATATTGCAGTAACTTGAGCAGTGTAATCGGTTAATTTAACCCCTTTACGAATTAGGATGAAGTCCAATACTTGCCAACAATGCTGAACTTTGGCGAAAAGGATCAAAATGATCCCTTGATTCTTTATGAAGAATCAAAATGATCCCAGATTATATTAATGGATCATTTTGGTCCCTCAAGTCTTTAAAAATGAATCAAAATAGTCATATAGTGAGATTATTTTGAATCTTCTTAAAGGAATTGAGAGATAAAAATGATCCTTTAATATAGTTACGGATTATTTTGATCTTTAATAAAGAGTTAAAGTATAATTTTGATCATTTTCTCGTGAAACTTGAAAAGATTTTAGTACATCACCAAGGCTGCTAGAATCAAGAAATCAAGATAATATAATTGAAAGCAAAATGAAGCTTGCAAGTACTTATCTCGAGGAGCAGACCCAAAGTGATGATAAATGCAATGAAAACAAAACTGCCAAATTGGCTTCCAATGTCAACAACGATCAAATTCACACTTACAAAAAAAAAAAAAAAAAGCATGCCGAACATGTATCTTACTTGCCAAAAAATTAATCACCATCCAAAACTAAGTGGTTGTTTGGTAGCAGTATTTAAGCAGGATTTACGTCGGATTCATCGTAAATCCTTCCAAACAGTTTGAGAGTGCGCAATGAATCCGAATCAATTGTAAATCTCATTCTTCGGTGGATTTAAGGGATTTACGGACTTGCACGAGAATGCTTCTCACGCAACGGCCTTAGTGGGGAGAAAGATGGTTTACCTTCGCAGCGATCGAGCTCTCGTTGTGACTTCCAATCCGACGTCGTCGAATGAGACGAAGAAGCGATGAAGAAATGGCATTGAGGAGAAGCAAAACAACGAAGAAATGGAGAAGTTGAAAAGCAAATCGTATCATTTAAATTAGAAATTAAATTAATTTAGCTTAATTAATATAGCATAAAACATTAATAATTAATTAGATAATTAATGATATAATTAAAAATTAAATTTATATTTAAGAATACTTAAAAAATTAGAATTATAATTAATAATTAATAATCAAATAATTCAATATGTAAAATAACAATTAACTAATTAAGTAGAAGTAATTAAATAATTAATATGGTAATTACCAAGAGGTATGTGAAATAATAATTAATTGGAAGTAATAGAATACTTAAGTAATTGCTTAGATAATTAATAGTATACTTAGTAATTAAAAATTATTTAATTAGTTTTAAATAATTATTTAAATCAATTAATCATTAAACTAGCTTCTAATTATATTATTTATAATTATAATTTATTGACACTTATTAAAATTATAATTAATAAGTAATTATTATTTCAAATACAAAATAAATTTGAAACATAAATTATTTGAATTTTTAATGAACTAATCGTTTAAAATCCTGAATTATGTTATCAAATAATTTTACAGGATTTAATAGGAATTAATATTTCTCTTGCCAAATAGGTTTCAAGATTTAACACACTATGGATTTACTAAATCCATATTTATAGAATTTTTTTAGATTTTACTAAAGTTAAATCCTACTTGTTGCCAAATAGCCCCTAAGATCTAAACAAATTAAGAAAAGAATAAGTGATGTGACACAGAAGGTTTATTCAAGAAAAAGTAGGCCAACAACTAGAACCCAAAGCAAAAACAAAGGGAAGAGAATTCAAGAACCCATGTCAAGGAGCAATGAAAGCTCTTAAGTGGAATTTCTATTTTATGTGAGTGGTATTTGTTGTGAAAGATAGTGTTTGTGATTTTTAATTTGTGGCTATAATTATAATTTGAAAATATGAAATTCAAATTAAAAAAAATTAAAGTTTACATTTTCAAGTTTGAGGAAATGTGATTATTTTAATGTGCAATTGTGTATTTGAATAAAATAGTTCAAATAAGCATGGGCCCTCGCTCCTTTTTTTCCTCTCTTCATGTAATTTAAATTGATTGGTCAAAAGAAAATTTTATGGTTATATCTCTCACTCTCATATATACTCTCCAGTGTGGCGGCCCTCACTCCTTTTTTTCCTCTCTTCATGTAATTTAAATTGACAGTTGTAAACCTATTCACACTTGATGGAATGAAGAATGAAGGAGGTTATTGATGTGTTGAAAATTTTGGAGTTTGTTCCAAAGAAGCGAGAGCCTAGATAGTCGGCCTCACCCTTGAAGGGATTTGATGATTTCTTCAAACTTGCTATTTTGGTAACAAGTATTGAATCTCCTTAAATCCTATCTATTATTTAATACAAATTCTTTTACATTTATTCCCTCACACTCACTTATCAATTATCTATTCAATTACCCACAAAAATCACTAAGAAAAAACTATAACAGCTCTTGGCCAAGGCTAGGCTGAATAAGACCTATTTTGGTTCTCGCCTCTGTTAACCCAACCAAAGCCCTCGGAAAATTATGAAACTTCCCAAAATTAAAGTAGACACACTCATTTTCTATATCAGGAGTTTCAAAGTCTTGGAGTTCCCATATTTTGAAACCCTAAAACCCTAAATCTCAAGTAGGAGAATTCGGTCAGCTTCCCTTCTTCCCTTCATAGCCTACTATTATATGGGAATTTAACATACTCTGAAAATTTTCCAAAGGCTTTTAAATCATTCCTAACTTCTTTAGAAGCCTTCCAATTCCAAATCAGTTACCCCTTAGTGGTCTAACCGTAGGCCACACTAAAAAAAAAGTTATCAGAGCTTAGATTGGTGGAGCATTGGAGACTTCACTGCTAAGAGTGGTTGTTTGGGAAAACACTTGCAATTGGTGAACTGATATCCATAAAAAGGACATTCTTTGATTTTGGGATTTGTTTACTTTTTAATGGTATTTAATTTTCTATTGCAAAGTTTTGAGACAAATTACCTATTTGAGTTAATTCTATGAACAAAAATGTAGCTGGGTCAACTAGCTGCCTCCACTTTCAATTGTTTAACTAATCACCCTTTAAACTTATCTCACCATCAAATTGCTAGAGTGAAATCACATTAATAAGGTGGTGATCCACTTGAAAAATAAACCCTAACCTATGTTCCAATCAATATTAGCTCCCTATATTTAAACTTCAGTTTTACTGAAAATTTTCAAAAAGTTTAGAACTTTATTTTAAGCTTTTCTTTTATAAATTTTTACAGCAAGCACTCATTGCATATTTTAATAAAAAATAAAAAAACTTCTCCCATATTGCATCTACATTGTATTCTCACTGCATAAAACATGTCAAAATATCTGCTAGCATGGATCAAATGAAAAAATTTATGAGGAAGTGTAGAAGAAGATGCCTTACATAATGAGGAGACCTTTCCTAAATTACAAAACATGATTATGAATCTAACTAACCAAATGCAAGCCATGATCGCACTAGGATGCAAGACCAACCACCTGCCCATAACTAAGCTATTTATGGAAAACCTATGACTGACCATCCACCAAGGACAAATTATTTAGGAACCATCGTAGGAATGAGCATCATAGACATCATAGACACGTACATATGAAACCAAAAATAAGGTTACAGTAGAAGCCCCATGATATTCATGATCCCAGGTTTCTAGACTAGCTTATTCAAAAGGATGACTATTAAAAAACTATATTTGCTAAGATGAAGTTAACAAGCCATGCAAAAATTTATTGGAATAATATCTTAGCAACATAGGAGAGACAGAGCATAATATTCCTGACTTAAGTAAAGATCAAAGAAATGTGTTAGACCGGTCCACTGGACCGGTCTAGCCGGTCCATACAGAACCGGCTTATGGGTGAAACAGGTGGAGGTTTTCTGCCTCTTGTACGCAAGAGCCGACCGCCCAGGTTTGACGAAGCCATTTTGGAAGGATTTTTGAGGGAGTTAGGAAGGAAATTTGAATGTAGGGACTGTTTAGACTTTAGAGATTTCCTTTTGAATTGTATGCATTAAATAGTTGGTTTTCCTCGGGTTAGGGCATCTTGAATTTGGCTGAAATTTGAGATCTCTTAGGTTTAGTTTTCCTTTGGGCTCTAGCGGCATCTAGAGAAAAAGGGAGAGATCGATCCTCTGTTACGCCGGCCCAGGAGGGGCCGGCTGGACCGGTCCAACCCGGACCGGTCCGGGTCTTCTCGTGATCTCGAATTGAGGATCACTTGTATCTTGTTTGTTTTTCTTCCGTTAGTTGAATTTTCTCAATAAAGTTGGCTGTTTTTCTTTGATTTGTCCTCTACTTGTTGAGTATTCTCACTGATTTTGTCAAGATCATTACATTGATTTTAACTCTTCATAAAAGAATTCTTTGAAGGACATGTGAATTAATGAGGCACAAGATGACTATCCAAGAAAAAGTGAAACAACAACTAGAACCTAGAGCAACAATGAATTTCAAATTCCTTCAAATTTTTGGAGTTTATTCCAAGCCAGCCTCATGCTTATAGGTTCTAGTTGCAACAATGAACAATAATTACTATCTCACGAATGTATTAAGATCAAGAAGAAAACCATCATCAATAATCTATCAATTAAGTATTATAGTGATCATTTTTCCATAAAATAAACTCAAATATGAAAGTACTCTTGAGATGTTAGATTCATAGAAGAAGCACATCTATCACTGAATTTTCTACAAATGTCCAAATTCATGGCCGATCATTTTTGCAAATATCTTCCAAAGAGAGTGGAAAAACAATTTCAAATTTCCAAAAAGAAAAAGGCAAAAGAGATAATAGATAGATCTCCACTGTATCCATGGTATTTTCTACCGAGTCCAACGAGAGGTTCATGGTTTTTTTATGTCTTCTAATATGGATTTTCTGACACATTTCTGCATGTCCAGTATATGCTAGTGCCATTTCAAAAGTGTGTCCATGTCCACCAAATATCAGACAATGCATACCTCGAGTATTAGGAATATCCATGCAACATAATAGAAAT